ACAGAATGAGGAAAGCAATTGCAGTCCTATCACGCACACACACACACACACACACACACACACACACACACGTGCACACAGGTACACAATGAAACTGCCTGGTGTTCTGGGGACTTACCTGTCCTCAGGAGACAGAGGGCCACCCAGCAGAGGAGCCTGGAGCCCATGACAGCATCAGAGCTGGATGGGAGGTTACCAGGTCAGGGTCACTGTGAGCAGGAGCAGAGGAGGAGGGACGTCCTTGTCCCCCCCACATGGCAGTACCCACAGTGATGTCACTTCCTCTCCCAATCCCCATGACCCCAGGAATACAGCAGTTATATCAGAACATACTTGGATGATTGATTTAAATATTTATAAGCTGATTTTTAATAAAATTAAGGCATGGGTCTTGACTTTCGGCTCCAGTGCTGTGTGGGTACGGAGGCCTCACACTACATCTCTGAGTTTATCTTCTTGTCCAGCCATCCCTCCCCGGTCTGCCGGGCGTGTTCACTAAGAAGTGTCAACAGCGCCTCCAATGCAAGACCCAAAGGGTGAGCTCACTGTCTGTCTGGAGTCAGGGTTTCCTGTGGCTTCCCTATTTCTGCCTCCTCCTTGTCCCAGTCACTCGTGCTCAATGTGCACAAATTAAATGGGTTCTTTCACAACTTGACTCTCACACTTTCTTTCTGGGGACATTTCCCATTTTTGTTAAGTATAATTTTGAAAAGATATCTTACTGGTAAACTCACAAAGGTTTTCTTTTTCTCCTTTTCCCCTCCTAAAAGTATTTTTTTGACAATATCATTTTAAATCAATGAGCACTACAATTCTGAGTTAATGGTTATTTTTAACCTGTTTCTTAATTTTTACTGTTGCTCTCAGTCTATTCCTATGGGAGATATTTATCTTTCCATTTTGACTTCTTTTAAAATCTTTTCTTTGTCATTCGTGTTATACAACTTCATTCTGGCATGGCTGTCTTACTTGAGATTCATTTGAATTCTTGAAAATGAGGACTTAGGTTCTGAAGCACCTCTGAAAAACTCTCAGCTACATCTTCTAAATGTCACCTTCTATCATTTTCCCTGTTTTCTCTTTCTGAAACTTCAATTATATGCAAGAAAAATGAAAAATTTTAATCAAATATTATGCAGATTCTAATGTACTAGAAATCTCCATTTTTTATCCCTATCCTTAACTTTTCTTTCATGTTTCATTTTAATTTTCTGTGCTGAATTCTAGGTAATGCTTTCAGAGCTGTTTTTGACATAACTAATAATCTCTTTAGGAGCACCTACTCTGCTGTTTAGCTTCCTTTTTTTCAGTGATAATCTTAATCATTTCCACATACTCTATTTGATGATTTTTTTTAATGGTACCTCCTCATTTGGGACCATCTTTTTTCCTTGTTAACATTTCAATTCTCTCTTACATTCACTTAAATATTTATCTTCAAACATTAATACCTTATAATGCCCAAATTTTACATCTTTGGAATGTTCATGAACAATTAATTGCCTATTGTTTTTGCTTCCTTTTCTGATTGGTGTTTGTTTCAGTTATTCTTAAAGGTGAGAGTATATTTATCTGTTGTTAATCCATGAAACTCCAGAGACATTTGGACTGAAAATGCAGAACCTCAAGACCCTGTGCCTTTTGCAAGTGTCTTCAGTCTAACTTCCAAATGTTTGGGGCCAAGAACTTTCAGATGGATGCAGGACTACCAAATACACCCATGATTTAGATTCCTAGGGTGATAACATGCTCTCAGGACAGCCCCAAGGAAGGCTCCAGAATAGAATTCTAATTTTGTGTTTCCATTTAATTACTTTCTTTCCATAAATTAGAGACCATAGGCCATGTGGTCATGACAATTTCTTCCTGTTCTTTCAAATAGAAATAACATACATATTTTAAATATAAAAATTTTCTAAATTGATAGATAGCTTCTCTTCTTTCTTTTTGTTCCCATTCCAAAACTTCAAGAAATAGACTAGATATCAGAATATATATGTACACTACACTCATTGAGATTGATGAACACACCATATTTTAAACTGGAAATGTTCATACCAATTAAAAAACTGACTTGCACAAATGCCTCTATGCTTGTTCAACAATTGAATGCTGTTTTAGAAGCCCATAGCAGACCATCTCAGACACAAAGAGACTCATTAACTCTCATCTGTTCTGCACCCTGGCCTGCACACTAGAAACTGAAATATGAAAACCACTAGGACCCGAAAGTCTAGCATCAAAGACTTGTTCTACCATTGGCCAATTTGAGACTACTGTAGAACAAATATATTCAGTTTGCTCCTTAGTTCCAACTTATTCAAAATAAAATTAATATTCTTTCCTATGAAATCCTATGTCCTCCTGTGAGTAGATTAAGAAGTCATATAAGTCATGAGTCAAACCAGCCTGGCTGGACCTGGCCAGAAGAAGACAGAGCTCTTTGCTGGCAAGACCGAGTTTCTGGAGGTTGCTCAATGTGGTATCTGAGTTATTCTTCCTGTCATTAGATGATGCTAGAGCATGTGACAGCCTGGTACTCAGCTGAGTTGGAGGGAAGAGTGGTCAGATGTGTCTTACTGGGAATGGTGTGGTCCATAGAAGGATTGTCCTGGGTGATTGTCTTTACACCATCTGAGACATGTTTTGTCTCTTTAGCCCTCTCTGGTCTTTCCTGCTTGGGGCCAAGTCTACACATGGGGAGAAGGCATCTCTACAGCACTGTATTTGGAACATCACCACAGAAATGCAGGGCTAGTTCCTGAGCTCTGAGGATTTCACTCTGGGGTTGTCATTGTCAGATCACTGAGCTGATCAGCTGTAAATCTATGAGGCACATTTATCAGACTGTGGCACCGAAAGGGAGATCAGAGCACTTGCTTTAGCTATAACAGAACTGGGTCCACGTAGCTCGAGATGAGGTTACCTCCCAGGCGTCCTGATGTCCATGCAACTCCAATAGGACAGAAGCTCAGGAAGAAGCAGAAGACAGAGTTCTGCTTCTGGGTAGGAGGGAGACTGCAGCCGCAGTCTTGAAAGAAACATTAGTAGTCAGGGCCTGGAAAATCTAGAGCAGAAACGTCCGAGTTGTGTCTACATTTACATGAGCATTGGAGGTGTCCCCTGGAGATGAATGTGGAGACAGACCATGGCTGGTTGAAACAGGTGCATGACCAGATGACTTATGCTGGGAGAATCCATCCTGTGCTAGGTTGTGGCATCAAAAGGGAGACCAGGACACTTGCTTTAGCTATAACAGAACTAGGTCCACATAGCTCAAGGTGAGGTTACCTCCCAGGCATCCTGATGTCCATGCAACACCAATGGGACACACAGTTGTTAAGACAACTTAGCAAGTGCTGGAAAATATATTTTCCAGAATGCCCTTTCTTTTATGTTCCATGGTTAGAGTTGGTCAAGGAAGAATTTGTGTGAAATTTGGACGATGGAGGTAAAACAATCACCATTACACAGGTCATTGTGGTCTGACAGTGAGAAACAATGGCCAACAGATATTCATGCATCCAACAAACCAATGGAGTCCTCTGGCTTCTGCACTCAGTGTCTAGTTCATCTTCCCAAATGTTGGCCAACAGCAGCCAGGGGTCAAGGTACTTGGCTGTGTACCCACAGAGGTGGTCCCCACATAGGGGCAACAGAGTCCTCAGAGCAGGTTTCCATGGACATCTCCTGTGCTCCCTGGTCAAGGGCCCACTGGGAGGCTTGACGTCTCTGATCCTCTCATGGCCCGGACACTCCAGCCTGTCCTGCACCAGAGCCCCAAGAGCTCTGGCTGCTGACTGTCTCTGTGACCTTTTGACTTCTCCCTTCCTCTTTTCTTCCTCAGCTCCTCCCACATTTTATTAAGGTCTAATTCCTATGATAAATCCCTCTCTCAATAGTACTTTTCGGGGCTCTGTCTTATTGATAAAACCCTAATAGAGTTTTTGATACCAAAAGTGGTTCCAAGGACACAAAACTCTTTGGATGAAATTCTGAAAGTGATTCCCTAATCTGATTTGTTGTGGAGAAATAGCCTAAAGGAGAGACCAGACATCTGGGGTGAGTCTGGTGCTGCAGCCACAAAGGGAAGCCTTGAACCAGGTCTGGCCACCCATGATGGCAATTTGCACCAATTTCTAAGACCACCTGAGCCCAGTAATCAAAGGGATGGATTTCTCACAGCTAATGAGCTAATGCTAGAGGTCCGCCAGGCTAAAGTGGATCTAGGGTGTTTCTGTTTACTGGTCATCCATCCATCCACTGTTCACTCAGTCTGTCCTTCCTCATCGATTCTCTGTGACATAGGTGCTGCCTACGTGCCAGGCACGGTGGTTGGTAAATGCAGCAGGAACATCCAGAGCCCACATGGAGCTTAAAATGGAGTCTGGCAGAAAAATAATCAGAAAAGTGTTCATAAAATTTCAACTGTGCTAAATTGTACTGACTAAAAACACATGATACCACGAGAGCTTAGGAGAGGGAAACTGACCTCAGCTGGGAGGTGAGGGGAAGCTTCCCTCCAGGTGGGTGGGTGGTGATTTGGCTGAGATCCAAGGCACAGGTAGGAAGTCGCCTCTACAGAAAGGAAGGCTCCATGCCCAGGGCAGAGGAAATAACCTTTGAGGCTCTGTGATGGGAAGGAGGGAGGCGCAGGTGAGGGTCTGTGCAGCCTGGCTGGAGGAGGGGGCAGGAGCGGGGGAGGAGAGACCCAGCAGGGCTCCTGGGGTGATGGCCCATATGGGAAAGGGGGGCTGCAGCAGAAGCCATGCGAGGGCTGGGCAGGGGCAGAACCCTACAGGGAGAGCCACGTGGCACCCAGGTGGAGACAGGGATCTACGTGTGGCTGGAACACAAATCATGTCCCATCCTGGAGGCCTCAGTCTCAGGTTAATGACTAGGACAGTCAGAGCCAGGGGAGCCCCATCCCCACCCCAGTGGGACAGCTGAACAGAGGCCTGGGGTCAGTCCAGCTTGGCTGGGACTTCCTGCAGGTGCACCTGGCACAGACCCAGGCTGGCACTGCACGGGCCCCTCGGGGCTCCAGGGTCCTGGTGTTGAGAACCTGCCAAGAGCACCGCTGAGTTCTGGGGGTGCGGAGCCTCCCCTGCCTTTATGTGCAGCGAGGAGGCCACTGTGTAGGGCTGTGTATTCACTGCTGGCACAGAAGTACCCAGATGTCTGGGAGGGGGTAGCCGACTCCAGCGTGAGGGGGAAGGTCTCTGTACTTGATCTAGAGACATTGTAGCCATTGTAGACCTGTCCTTTTTCAGTGATACCGACACCAACTGAGTAATAGATCAGCCTCAGCCCCAGCCCAGGATCTTGTCGATACCAGTACATCTCCTCATGGTTCGTGTCCTGGGTGCATGTCAGGGTCGTGTTCTGTCCTGTCTTCAGGATCTGGAATCTTGGGGTCTGGGTGACGCCAGCAGTCACTGAACCTGCAGAGAAGGAGAACGAAGATGGCGCTGCAGCCCCAGGGAAAGGCCTGGTTCCGGGTCCTGAAGTCCAGGCAAGAGCCCTGCCCGGGACTCACCTGCCCACAGGAGGCAAAAGGCCACACAGCCCAGGAGACGGACAGTCATGGCAGGTGCCGGGCAGGACAGTGGGGACTTCTGGGTCTGTGCACTGATGAAAGAGGAACGGGGCTCTCGAGGGAGTTATTCTGAGACCTCATTTTTCCTGCCTGGGCCCCAGAGCCTTCCTGCCAGGAGGGGCCACGCCCCCCTCCCCAGAGGCTCAAATAAACAATAAATGTGCAAGTGAACAGCTCAGGATGGGAGGAATGCATTTGTCTGAACTGACACAGCCTTACAAGATTTCTAGATTTTATTTTTTGTAAATAGTTTGCACCTACGTATATTTTATTGCTATGATGATGCAATTCCTCGTGAACACATTCCCTGTGCTATCTAACTATTTTTGCAGTCTAGACTCTTAGGGGGAAATATTTATGGCTTCCTGGTGCTATGTGACTCCTGTGTCCCAAATACTCCCTCAAGTATCCTTTTCTAATTAGCTTAATTGACCATGATCTTGTTAGGGTCCTCCGCCTCCAGTGATTCTTTCTGGTGTCAGGTTCCCAAATCTCAAGGACAGCCTCATCAACATGTGAGGAACCGTTTTGCTCTGTTTCTTGTCAATTCCCTGACAGATGGGGCCCCTGACACAGGTAGCACCTTCGTGTCCACCTGCTTCCCCGATTCAGACGAGACCGCAGCAGCAGACAGAGCCACTTCACGCTGGTCACTGCCCTCTGTTTGTGGAAGGCGGTGGCTTCTCAGTGCTGCAGACCAGCCATTGGCACACAGGTGACTGGGGTGTGAGGGGCTTGGGGAGAGGTGGCAGGCTCCAAGGCACGAATGAAATGCTCTGTTTTTATTTGCGAGATCACGTTTCATGGGGACTATCTCCTTGTGCAAGATGCCTGCCATTAATTTAGTAATGAATAAAAAGCAGCTCAGAAACTGTATCTTGTTGCACAGAGCCCCACCCACCCTTAGAAGGACCCCCTACTTGGTCTAACTCTTTGCTGTCACAATCTTCAAATGCTTAACTATGTTAGAACAAAGCACCAGCCAGAAAAGTCATGTAGCTGGTCCTGAGCACGTGAGTTTGAGAATGAGATTCTGCACACCTCCCCCACGCGCTGCTTTTCTTTCAGCACGAGCACATGACTGGGGTCCAGGTCACTCAGCATCGATGGGGTTCAGGAGACGAGGACACAGAGATTGAGGTCAGAGCAAAGGGTCACCCGGTACTATAACCTACAAGCTGGTGTCCAGCAATCCCACGAGGGGGTTCCATGGCTGTGCGCAGGACTCCTCTGGGCCAGGAGAGAGAGGGACACGCAGCACAGGAGCCTGGTGCCCAGCGCAGGCCCCAACCAGAAAGAGGAATTTTCTAGCTCGAGGCTCAGGTTTTATGGATTGGACACTTGGTGCCAAGGCAAAGACAATCCTTCTCCCAGTGGGACATCATCTCTAGCAAAGTCCCCGTGACTGGTTTGCTTGGCCCCAGCACACTCAGTCTGTGAACGCAAAGCCTACGTACGTATGTATGTGATGGGAATTCAAAATAATTTCCATAAGGACAATTAATTAATTTTGTCAAAATATCACTATAAAACAGTTTGAGTGAAAGACTGGATGAGAAAAGAAATGAATGAAAATTAATAAAGAAATTCTGTAGCATCAGCCTCTGCCAGCCGGAAAGAACTTTCGATGGTTATTTCATCATCTTATCAGATGTCCCTGATGTGGATCGGGCATCTCGCGTGGTTTATTGAATGAAAGTATAAAATAGATTAACTAATGGCTAGCAATTATTTGCGTTCCTTTCCCTCAAGGCTGGTTGCCTCAGTTCTGGGAAGTCTAAGTGCAGAAAACTATGCCTATCTTTTTCATCACGGTGAAGGTAGAATACCCAGAAGTTGTTATGTTCCTTGGAATAGTCGGGGAAGAGGTTATAATGACCACATCTGATGCATGACCTGCCATCCTGCAAATGGGGACCTGGAACGGGGAGGCCAGGTGAGGAGACAGATCTACTGGGGGCCGGTAGGGAGGGAGAAGTTATAAGTGTAGGATGAACAGACTTCAGCTGGCTATTGAACACCACACCTGGGACAGCTGCTTCCCTCAGACACACAAGCAGGTGAAATAACACCTACCATGCATGGTTTCTGTGAGCATTGCGACAGATCCCATGCAGGTGCAGCTGAGTGTCTGGGAAAGTCCTGCGCGCTCACCAGGGCCCCAGCCCCTCTGGCTGGCAGCACCACCTCATGTCATTGTCCTGAGTAGGGGCAGGAATGTTTCTGGCATTTCCTCTGGAAGCTGGCCGCTTCCAGTCACTCTCCCTTCAGGCCACCCTCTGGCAGTCCCCTCTTCCCCTGGGCGGGCCCAAGGCCCTGCCACTCCATGCACCTTTGCTGTGCTGCGCAGCCCTAAACTCAAGGGACTTGAGCACAGTCCCCACATGCCCACAGCATACCTTATCTTCCTCTGCCACCCTGCCCTGCCCTGACATTGAGTCCCCAGCCCTGGCCACCCGGACCCCTTCACCCTCCACTGCCCATGCAGGTGCAGACAAACTCCCCCTTGGAGTATATATACTGAGGCCTGTAGCTCCCCAACCCTTCCCTGAGTAGTGAGGAGTCTGTGTTTATCTCAGGACTCACTCTGAACTCCAATGCTCTCTGATGCAAGCACCCAGCCAGGCCTCCTGCCCTGGGCCACCCTCCCAGCCCTCCCGAGCTTCCCTGCAGCATTGAGGAGCCACAGCGCCTCCAAGTGGCCAACAGTGCACAGTCTCGGGAATACACACCTGGTCTGATGTGCTCAAGGTTGTCCAAATCAGGGATAGAGATGCCAGGACCCCCACCCCTCAACCCTACCCTCTCACACTCCTGTCTCTACTGCTTTCTCAGAGGGGCCAATTTAGGGTTCATCTTCATATCCAACCTTAGCCAGTGGAGACAAAAGGAGGCATGAACCGACATTTGAATTACAAAGCAAACAATTGTTATATCTTTGCAATTAGTATGCTGAGAGGAAAGGGTGGGGCCAGACTTATATGGCCATGGAGTTAAACAGTGTGTCTACATCAAACAGATCTAGCTTGGAAACACCACATTCCACAGCTCCTCCTGGAAAATCAGACCCACATCTTTTCATATATTGTATTTAAATTATTACCAAATTTTAGAGAATGTGTTTATAAAGAGGATTTTTAGATGCTACATATTTATTTCTGAATTTATAAAATATTGAAATAAATGACCCTATCAGCTACAACTTAGGTAGACTCAGTGTGATCTGACATTCCTACCACTACCTGGAAGTGCCTATGAACTCTGCCTGTGACCCCAGAGCCTCTTAGTAAATGCCACCCGGAGAGAACCTTTCCACTGGTGCCTCTCCACAAGAAAGCACACACATGCACTCACATGCACACACACTCGCGCGTGCGTGAACACACTCACATACACACGACATCCTTTAATTATCAAGGATGATAAAATTCTACTACTGAGCACAGATCATTTTTTTTTCCTTTTTTTTTTTTGGTTGATTTCCATGAAACACACTAGCCGATGTTTCCAGCCTCACCAAATCTCTAAATCTGTGGTTGTGGTGAGGATTTTTCTTACTATATTATGAAACTGGATAAATATTGCAATAACTTTAGATACAATTAGAACACTTTCCAGTGCCGGTCATCAGTCCTGACTGGGAAAACACGTTTGCCCAGAATATGGCAGGAATTACATGGAAGAGGAAGGCAGGTGCGAGCCCGTCCTCGACAGGTGAGCAGGGTTCGTGCTGTCTGGGGTGAAGGAGAGCCGTCCAGCCCATGGGGACAGTGAGCACACATTCAGAGCATGTACAAGGCTGCTGAATCTTAGGACTGGTTCAAGTGCTCTTTGCTCACAGAATGTAATTGGATCTGGGGGAACGGGTGTCAGAAAGGGATCCCATGGATCCCCTTATCTTTGGGGAGACTGAAGAGACTTTGCCCATGTATGACCAAGGGTGACATGACCTCCTCTGTGTTTGGAGAAGTCCCTGACTGTCCCCTGAGGAGTCAAGACTGGGGCCAGAATTTCAGAAGGAAGATGTCAGGACCCAGCCCAGAGCTCTCACACCAGGCAACTGGCTGTTTGGCAATAGCCCCAACTGGGACCGGCCACCATGTGATGCCACTTGCTAGAAGTCCTGGGTCTATACTTTCTAGTTATCGAAGATGTTGGGGTGGGAGAAGAGAGCTCAGGCTGCACGGAACACTACCTTGAACCAGCCTACAGCTCTGTCTGTCTTCAATCATCACTGATCGTGCTCTTTCTCCTCAATTTTCTTCCCCCTCAATTATTTAAAACAACCCCCCCTGATTCCACCTTCTACAATACACTGTTATCAATGAACCTGACCCCAAAATGAAATCCTCTGCCCTGGAAAAGAGGGTGCAACTATTAAATTACAAACTCTTCTTCTGTCCCTCTAGCACACAGGGTCAAGCAAAGATAATTTTGGGGTGAGCCTGCTAAAGCAGCACCCACCGTCCTCTGAACAGATGCTCTTGGCCTTGTTTCCCCAGTCCTGAGTGACAGGAAAGCCCCAAGATGCACGTTACAGCACTTTCCAGCACCCTAACACTGGTTTTCTTCCCCTCTGCCTTTGCGGTCTGCAGATTCTCACAGATACATCAGCTGTGAGGCTGCTCCACGCTGGGGCAGGGAGGTTTGTGCGCAGAACGTTGGTGGCTCTGCAGGGCTGTGGAAGCTGCTGGCGCAGAGATACAGGGCTGAGTCCCCCAGTTCCAAGGCGCTCAGGTTCAGCTCAGAGCGATAGTCACTGAACTGGTGACCCGAGAATCGGGCAGGGAAGTTTCCTTTATCTGACTCTTTCTCCTCGTAATACTGAATGAGGAACTGGGGGCCCTCACCCAGGGCCTGTTTGTACCAGAACACACTGGGATGCCCAGAGACAGGGGAACATTTCAGTGTCACTTGCTGTCCTCTTGCTGTGATCAGGTGTCCTGGAGTTTGGGTGACTCCAGCCTCTGCCGGGCCTGTGGAGAAGCAGACGGAGACTGAGCACAGGAGACAGCCTGGTGGTGCCTCCCCAAGGTCAGGTGCAGGATGCGGGGGTGGCCAAGCTCAGAATGGAGAAGCTGCCCTGTCCCCAGGGCTCACCTGTCCCCAGGAGGCAAAGCATCGCCCAGTGGAGGAGCCTGGAGCCCATGGCACAGTGGGGCAGGCAGCACTGTGTCCCCATGTTCATGACGTGGGCCTCTTGGGGAAGAGCTGAGTCTGGGCTCGCTTCTCCTGATTGGAGGAGTATCCTGTGATGTCACAGCCCTGGGTCACCCCTGCAGGCTTCCTGAGGTCCAGTGCTTCCCTGTTTGCAGAGCAAAATCCACTGTGCCAGTGAGGGAAGGAACCAGAAGGTGGGGAACAAACACAGGAGGGATCCCAGTGGTGTCTTGAATCACATATGCCCTAGAAATGTCCCACCTCTACCCAGGACTCACCTCTCTCCAAGGAGACAGAAGCCTGTGCAGCAGGGTTGCCTGGAGCCAGGGCAGAGTGGCAGAGAGCTGGACAGCCTCACCCTGCTCAGGGTTCTAGTCCACTGAAGGCTGGATTTCCAGGCTTCCCTTCTCTTATAGCACACGAGGCTGCAGGGTCGCTGCTCTAGTGTCACCCTGTCTGCAGGTTCCCATGCACCCTGCCTCCCTTGCCAGGTCCCTGGCCCAGCTGATCCAAGACCCCTGGTTTGTCCTGCAAATCTTCTCACATAGCATTTGGGACCAGACTGGGCTGCTCCAGGCTGAGGAGGGTTAGGTCACATGTCCATCTCCCACATAGTCATTTTGCTTTTCCTTTCAGGCAGTTGTTCTCCTGTCTGTCCCTGCCTAGGGCATGCAGGTTGTCCCATCCCAGCATCAACCATTCATTCTCACTTGCAAGCTCACAGCGACACTCTAACCACTGCAGAACTGAAGTTCATGGCTCCCTGGTGGGGCAGCACACCTGCAAATTTGTGTCTACATTATCCAACATTCTAATCGATAAAAGCATCAAACAAGGCTCCTCCTTAGCCTGGACTCCCAGACACTTGGAGCTCAGCACTTTCACAGTGCCCCCATGCGGCCCACTGGGCAATAACCAAGATTTTGCTTTTGTTATGGACTGAATGTTTATATCCTTCCTCCCCCAAAATTCAGTCCCCAACGTGACCATATTTGGAACTAAAGCCTTTATGGAGGTTTTAAGGTTAAATGAAGTCATAAGAGTAGAGCCCTGTTTCAATGATTAGTGCCCTTCTAAGAAGAGACACCAGAGAGCTTGGATCTGACTCCTCTAAGACTGCAAACTAGCAATATCGCCTGCTCCTTGCCCAGGTGCACCTGATAAGGCAAGAAAGAAATATGAATAGCAGACACTGACCAAAAACCTCGAGAATCTTCTGGGAGGACTAGAGCTATTTTGGGATGGAGCATGAATAAGACGAGTGGTGAGCCCAAGCCAGCAGTGAGAAAAGGAGCTGGTGGAAATCATTCTGAGTTCTGATCTTTCCCACTCTCTCCTTGCATGGAGACAATCTTATTCACATTTTTATTTGATAAATCTATAGCAGAGTAACTAAAGCTATAGGGGCACCAAGGACTCCAAAAGAAAGATAACTGCTGTCATCTGAATGTTTTTGTCTCCTGTAAATTCATCTGTTGAAATTTTAAGCACCAATGTCATGGTATTAGAAGGTGGGGTCTTTAGGAGGTAGTCATGTCCTTTATAAAGAGACACCAGAGATGCACCATGTAAGGATGGTTTTGGACTGTTTTGGCTCTTCATCTTTAACCAACCATTGTGCCGAACGCTTTCGATTGTCAAAAAGAATCCATTTTTCATCACAGGTAACAATACAGTGCAGAAACGGTTTGCCATTATGTCGTGACAGCAAAGAAAGGCAAGCTTCGAGACAATTTCTCTTCTGACTCTTGTTTAATTCATGCAGCACCCATCTATCCAGTTTCCTTACTCTGCCGATTTGTTTCAAATTGGCCGATGTTGTTGGAATAGTTACGTCAAACCCTGCTTCTAATTCATGCGTAGGCTGAGATGGATTCACTTCCACTACAGCTTTCAGCTCATCATTATCTACCTTGGTCTCAGGTCACCCACGTGGCTCATTTTCAAGATTAAACTCACCAGAATGGACCTTCTCAAACCATCGAGGTACTGTGCATTCATCAGCCACATCCTTCCCAAACATTTCATTGATATTTCAAGCTGTCTGCACTGCATTGGTTCCACAATGGAACTCATATTCGAAAATAGCGCAATTTTTTGACTTATCCGGGGTTTCACAAAAATTGCTCTAAAAAAAATTTGAAAGATAATCACAAGCCAAACCATGTATTTGAAAGAATGAAGGTGTACCTTCACAATAAAAAGAAAACAAGAAGTGTCAAAGTGAAATGTCAGAAAGATCAACTGTCAAACTTAGAGCACAAGGAAATCGGACATTTCATACTTAATAACCTACTTAATATACATGTTATCAGACATTCACAGAGCTCACTACACTGTTGTTATAAAGAAAGGCCACAAGTTCCTGAATATCCAAGTTGTACTAATTCCAGCTCTAACAGTCCAGAGTCCCCAGGAAATCCACCCTTGCCCAGGGCTCAATTCTTTTATATTCCTAAGGACCCCCAGAATTCTTTATTGTTCACCAAACACCTTACTCCTTCAGCCAAACTCAGTGAAGGTTGACTCCTTGGCAACCCTTTTGCTGGCTGGGTGGCCTCAGGGGCTGCCTTGCTCCCAGCTGCCTGGAACTTCCACCTTGCCTGGGGCTGCCAGGGTCAGGATTCAGGGAGAGAAGGAAGTGCATTCCACATTTTACCACTCCTGGGGCCCTGCTCTTTGCTTTAATCTTGGGGACAGGGCTCTGCCTGTGTGCTCAGGGCTTAGCTGGTCCTCAGGCAAGAGGGACAGTGCTCTTGCATCAGGGCCGACCTGCCAGAGAAACCCCACGGCAAATCCCCCTGGACCACCATTGCCCCAGCTTTTTGCAGCTGTTTCTCTCATCCCCACAGCTGTTTTCCCCCGCTTCATCAGAGTGCCTGGGCCATGTGGCTTTGAAATATCAGCTATATCTGCTACTACTGTAAGAGCAAATACACTTTAAAAATAAGAAGTTTAATTCTCTCAGTTGAAAGTAACAGAAGAGACTTTCCCCTTACCTTATCTGAAAGCATTCACTTTAGAAGTCTTGTCAGTTCTTTCTTTAATCTCGTTGAAAGGTATGTAAATGATTTTAAAAGTCAAATAAACCTCTTGCCAGCTTTTAGCCTCAGGGATTCCTTTCCCAAGGACCTGGCAATCTCTGAAATGTAACCATTAAGGAGGATTGCAGCCCTGTCTCCCAGGTTCTGTGGGGAAAGTAGAGGCCTAACTTAGAAACCTAACTTAATGTAGGTAGGTAGGAGCCTAGCTTAGGAACCTAATTTAGCTTAAGCAGGAGCCTAATTTAGACACTGAACTTAACTTAAGGGGGTGCTTCCCTACAAGTTGCAAAACTACCTCTTTTCATAAAAATGGGAGAAGCTTATCTTCCCTTTGAGTAAAACTAATTAGTTAACACACATGACCACCCAAATTACCAAGTGAACCTGGCATGAACTGTCTGTGAGAAGTGGTGCTCTCAGGTCCTCTTTGCTGAGGACTGGCTGTTTTGTTTACCTGGAGAACATGGATGCAATGGGCTGTATGTGCTTGCCTGTAAAACCGGCTGAGATTTCTTTCTTTATTTGTAATTCTTAGTGAGTGAATTTCCCGCGATGCCCATCACTTTCTAGTTTAATGCTTATTCAATAATTAAACAGTTTTCTTTCTCTTCTACCCTGCAGAGAGGTTTTCTGGATTGGGCTAGATTTTGTTCTTTTTTTTTTGTATTTTTTATTTTTTTGAGACAGAGTCTCACTCTGTCGCCCAGGCTAGAGTGAGTGCCATGGCGTCAGCCTAGCTCACAGCAACCTCAAACTCCTGGGCTCAAGCGATCCTCCTGCCTCAGCCTCCTGAGTAGCTGGGACTACAGGCATGTGCCACCATGCCCGGCTAACTTTTTCTATATGTATTAGCTGGCCAATTAATTTCTTTGTATTTATAGTAGGGACGGGGTCTCGCTCTTGCTCAGGCTGGTTTTGAACTCCTGACCTCAAGCAATCTGCCCGCCTCGGCCTCCCAGAGTGCTAGGATTACAGGCGTGAGCCACCGCGCCCGGCCATAGATTTTGTTCTTTTTGCATTTCCAAACACAGTAGTACATGGAGACCGTGTTGGAGACACACAACAGCATCTTCCAATGCAGGGGGAGATTTTCAAGGCTGCGGAGAGGAGGCTGGCTGGCTTACGGCTGTCAGAGAGGCCCTTGCTCTTGGTGAGAAGCTTTTGTGCCTCCCCTTGCTTTCCTTGTCTTATGCTCTAGCACACCTGACCACGCAGCTCTTAAAATCCACGGCTCTGCCTCCAGCCTCCTGAGATGGAATATGCATGGAGCAAGGATGTCTCCTGTAGACAGTACTGGCATCCTTAAGAGAATTAGAATAATTAAAATGAGAATAAAATTAGAGTGCCTACCATGTACGTAACACTTACCATGTGCTTGGCACAAGTGTGAGTTCACATGCACACAAGCAACCACTGAGCCCCAAAGAGCTGCCTGTTCTGCCGCCAGTGTCCTGTGGGCTTCTGTCCCTGCCCCCTACTGTGCTGAATGTCTCTCCCCACCAGCACTTAGGCTCTGCTATCCAGAGCCTTCACCTTCTGGAAAATTTCCAGCTGAGGATCTTTAAAATGCCTCATCTCCTCTCTATAAGCTTGCCTCCGCTTAGAGGTGAAACACATGTTTTGCTAAATAGGGAGAAGCAACAGCAGAGACCAAAACAGGATGCAGAGGTCTCGCTCTAGGTTTGCCTGGTCACACACTTGGTGACATTTGTCCCATCCTTGGGGTCCATAGCCACATTCTGTGATGCCTGGGAACATTTCCCAAATACCATGTCCCCAGATGCCCTATTTCTAATTACCATTTGGTCAATTAAATTAATTTTTTGACCTCCACTGCTGGAAGCACCTGCAGCTCCAACCACACATCTCCCCTGCCCCACCCTTAGCCAGGGAAGGGCTGCCGAGAGCCTGGGGACAAAGGAGAAGCTGCTGAGCTTCTGCAGGGACAGGAAATGTCTCTGCAAGGCCGTGGCCAAGCTGCTGCCCAGAGATGCATGACCGAGTCTCCCAGCTGTGCCGGCTGCATCTTCCCAGTGGAGTGTGATTCATCAGACATCTCAGCTGAGAAGCGATTGTTAAAAAAAAAACTACCTTCTCTGAAGGAAAATTGTCACTGAAACGAATCAGGAACTCCACTCCCTTTTCTGGGGTCTATCAGTATCAATAGAGGTTAAAATGACACAAATGGGGTCACACCTCAGAGCCACACTCTGTCCCTTCTCTGTGACATAGAGCTCAGGGGTTTGGCTGACTCCAGGTTCCATGAGTGTTGTGGAGGAAACAAAAACCAGAAAGAGAAGGAGGGAAAAGTTTGGAACCGGCGTTAGGTAAACACAGGATGGGAATTTCTGCAGCACTCGCAGGACTCACCTGCTCCCAGGAGACCCAGGGCCACCCAGCATAGAAGCTTGCTGTCCAGGGCAGGGTTGGGCAGGGCTGAGACCACTCCCAGCTGGGGCTCTGGTCATCCGCAGTGCAAGTGAGGGGACCTTCTGCTGGCACGGTCTCAGTGACACCCACAAACTCAGGAACCCCCCTGGCAGTGGGAGCCCTGGTGCCATCGTGGACACTGATGCCACCAGGCTCAGCCCCCATGCGTCCCGGAGGATGCAGTCTCCCATTCCTGCATGACATAGCGTGGTGAGTGGGACCCTCTGGACACGCGGGCTTCAGCGGGGCTGGGCCGGGATGAGAATGAAGGAGAACAGGCAGGACACCCGCTCCTCTCCAAAGGCCACTGGATGCTGGTGGTTTAAAACATTGGGAATAAAGAAACCAAAAGAGGGGGAGATGACCCTACCAGTGTCAGCACAGAGAGGAAATAATACAGAGAGTAGCTGAGACCTAAGAGCAAGAAGCAAATTTCAGAAGGGGAGGCTCCTAAGAAAGAGAGGCTTGGGAGCCACTGCACCTCAAGTGTCACAACAACAGCCACCCTCACAGGACAGTGTGCTGGCGCAGTGCAGGGGTGACCCTGGAGTGGCAGGAGGGTTCCTTTAGGAGATTCTTACAACGTCTTAAACCAAATGACCACCTGTAGAGTAGATCTGTTTTATTAATATTTCATGAAGAAAAAGCCATTAAAACATGAGGTCTGAATATATATATATATATATATTTTTTTTTAATGAGTTGACAGGGCAGAATCACATACAGGTAAAAGAAAACACACACGGTAAACATGTGCTCAGAATGAAAGTCACCGCGTGGGTTGAATGAGAGCGGCTGGTGCCACGAACTCAAACTTCTGTAGGGTTTCTCACAAGAAATGCTCAGCAAAACCCTCGGTGGCTCCCACAGCTTCCTGGCTGGGCCCGAAGGTTTGTGCACAGGGAGGGGGTGACTCTGCAACGCTGTGTCTTGGCTGCTGGCACAGAGGTACGTGGCGGAGTCTTCTGGCTGCAGGGCGTCCAGGTGAAGGTAAAAGTGAGCGTTGTCCTGGTATTCAGGTGTGAAGCGACTCGGCACAGTCACATTTTCATAGAGTTTCTTATAGTTGAAGATAAACAAAGGCTCTAGTGCCTTCTTAGCACTCTGTTTATACCAGTACATAGCATTGTGTTCCAGATTTTGTCCACACTCCAAAGACTTCTTATCTGTCATTCCCATGACCAGGTGTCTTGGCGTCTGGGTAACTCCAGTGTCCATGGGGACTGTGGGTGGAAGGAAACAAAATTCAAGCAGAGCCCATGAAGAAGGGTGTTAGGGCAGCCACAAGGAAAAGGCCTGGGGTTCAAGGACAGCCACTTTGAGCCCCAGACTCACCTGCTCCCAGGAGACAGAGGACCACACAGCACAGCAGCCTGCCGCCCATGGTAGAGTCAGGACAAGATGGTGTCAGGGTCCTGGGCTGCTCTGGGCCAGGGGGCTGAGCTCTGTTCTCTTTGGCCCTGGTTGGTGGTTTTCCTGTGATGTCATCTCTCCTGACAATGTCCCCAGGCCCAGGGGATATTTCCTCCTTGTCTTTTTATAGCCTTCATGGGTCCTGAGAGAATGTGGATTTGAATGGACGGGGCAGGGGTGAATGAGCGGAGCTGGAAGATCACAGCAGGCTTTTTACTCCCCAGGACATTCCCGTGACACTTGCCCATTTGCTCTTAGCTGCCCTCCTCATTACACAGATCCTCCCTCCGCCCCCTCTTCCAGGACCCCTTCTCAGCAACAGTCAGTCTCCCCAGGAGGGACCTGTCCCCCCTGCTCAGGCACACGGACAGCAGCTCTCAACACGCTGCTGCCCTCAGTGTCTCAGCTCCAGGGAGCCCCTGGGTCAGTTTGTGGACAGAGGGAGGTGGGACGACCACGGTTCCATTCTGGACCAATGTCTGTCATTGAAAGTGCTTGACTGTGATGCCAAGCAGGGGCCAGGCTCTGGGGAGGGCGCTGAACGGAGCACAGAAGGGACCAGGTGCGGTTTGGGTCCTGCCTGAGCCTAGAGCAAACATGGGAAGAATGCTAAAAGAAAACCACACAGGCATGCAATGCATGACAAAGGAAAATGGATTTCAAACTCACATCACTGCACTTGAGACATCTACAGCAGGTCTCCCAGCTGATGTAAGGGTGGCATCCAATGGGCCAGCTTCCCTCCTGGCCCAGCCCTGCACTCACTCCCTGCCTCTCCCCCACCCCAGCCCCAGAGGCCTTCCTGGAGCACAGCTCCTCCCTGTGGCCAGGGCAGCACATTCCCCAGACCTCAGGCCTTTCACCACCCAGCCTCAGCCTCCCAGATGCCCCACAGGCCACACACTGACAGCTGGGAGGGCTCTGAAAAGCCAGGGGAGAATGCAGAGGAAGGCAGCGTGGGAAAGTCCAAAGAAACTCACAACTCCTCCAGCCGTCCACACTGCTGGGATCTTCCACTTTTTGCTCAAGTAGATTTGTCTATGTCTGATCCTAGGAGGGAGAAAGACAGACAGTATCCAGCCCCTAAAGAGCCTGGGGGCAGCTGAGCTGTCCAACTCATGCTCCCTGAGGGACAGCAGGGGCAGGCACAGAAACACCAGCATTTTCAGGCACAGAATTGTATTTGAGTTGAGCAATTAAACATACTCACAAATAACCACAAGTAGGATAAAAATGTATCTCATATGAAGTTTAAGAATTATTACCTGTATTTTATCCATATATGTGATGTCATAATTCCTCATCTGTTTAATCAGCAGAACTGACGTGAAATTGCCTCCAAAGCCTTGTTCATTTGTATGTCGTTAACCCCCAGCCCCAGGCTAATGGCTTGTGCATGAAGCTTTCTATAAGCTGTTGATACATTTTGACCATTTAGTTATTGCAATACCATGTATTTTCATAAAATATAATGCCATGCCAAAATAGGGTTTTTATCTCATAAAAATTAAAGATACAATTAAACACAAAATGAAATGATCTCTAATCCCTAAATGATTTTGTTGCATAGCCTAGAGTGAGTGCCGTGGTGTCAGCCTAGCTCACAGCAACCTCAAACTCCTGGGCTCAAGCAATCCTCCTGTCTCAGCCTCTGGAGTAGCTGGGACTACAGGCATGCACCACCATGCCTGGCTAATTTTTTCTATATATATATTAGTTGGCCAATTAATTTCTTTCTATTTATGGTAGAGATGGGGTCTCCCTCTTGTTCAGGCTGGTTTCGAACTCCTGATCTAGAGCAATCCGCCCGCCTGGGCCTCCCAGAGTGCTAGGACTACAAGTGTGAGTAACCACGCCCTGCCCCTAAATGACTTTTTACCATCAATTAACTTATTGTTATATTCCATGTTTATTACCACTTTGTAATGGCAATTGTAATTGAAGGTAAGATTTGTGTTATAAATCTATATTATATATATTGTGTCACAATATTGCCTGTCATCGGCCTGTTGCCTGTGCATGAGGAGAGTTGCAACACAACACAGTCAGAATCGGGAGAGAACCGTAGCAGCTTCGTTCCTGCAGGGAAGGAGTCTACACTGCACACGCCGCCCTCCACTGCCTTCTCTCATCCCTTCTTCTAGGTCACCTGTTGCTGTGGACTTCCATGCTTCCCCAAATATTTTTCTGTTAAACAGGATGCACACTGATAATCTGAATTTCCTTTTAATCTTAGTGACATTTTCCTTCCCTTCTCCTTTATGCTTGTGTTCATCAAACATTTTTAGCAATATTGTGTTTCCCATCACAATGTTGTGTACAAGATGTACCAATAAGTACAGGAGAGAAAGACACAAATGGTTTCTTCCATGAGTTAAGATCTTCAGGGCATGGGACAGGGTCTTTTTTGTGTTTGTGAGGTCCTAGTACTTTTGTGATTCTGGTGGATCCCTGAGCTAGCTGATAAATGGAATTCTGGAAGACCTCTGCGTGGGTCAAATGTAGCAGGGCCCTGTTGGGAGCACAGGCGCCTGTCCTGCAGGCGGGAACTCTGTCTGGGCTCTGTCCAACAGGGAAGGGAGAAGGAGCCTCAGGGCGTGGGGAACACATTGCCCCACAGCTTCCTGGCTGAGCTGGGAGGTTTGTGCACAGAGAGGCAGTGACTCTGCAGGGCTGTGTCATCACTGCTGGCACAGAGATACACAGCAGAGTCGCCTGGTTCCGGGGAGTTGATGTGAAGATTTAAATGAGCTTTGTCTGGAGACTCAGGTGAGAAGCGATTGGAAGCTGTTTCATTTACCATCAGTTCCTGATTATTGTAGCTAAACATTATCTTCAGCAATTTCGTGGCGTCCTGCTTATACCAGTACATATTATCATGGCCCAGAGTTTGTCCACATTTCAGGGACACATTATTTCCCGTCTGTGTGAGCAGGTATTTTGGAGTCTGGAAAACGGCTGTGTCCAGGGGGCCTGTGGAGGGAGGAAGCAGAATTCAGGCACATCCCAGGGGCAGCCTGTGGCTGTGGGCAGGGCAGAAGGGTCGGGTCCCCTGGGCCCAGGACTCACCTGCTCCCAGGAGGCAGAGAGCCACACAGCAGAGGAGCCTGGAGCCCATGGCAGGAGCAGGAGGAGCAGGCCAGGCCCCAGCGCAGGATTCTGGTCTGCAGTGGGGAGAGCACCAGGCTGTGTCACTGTGAGGTCACAGCTGTGATCACCCCCTTTTTAGGCTCCTCTAACCTTGCCTCCTCTTCCTTCATGTCCTGCACTTGCTCCTCTAAAGGAGTCTCCTGGGGTTTCCTGCGGACAGTTTGGAGGGTGGCTTTTTGCCCCTATGATGTGTCTCTGGTGGTGTTTCTTGTGCCGGCTGCAGCCTCCCCTCCCCTCCCCACCCAGGATCTCACCCCCCCTCTACCCTTCAGCTTCTCCCTCAGAGTCAGGCTAGTTTCCCTTCTCTGCATCTTCTGCTCCCCCTCCCAGTAATGCAGGACAGTATTTTGCTCTCCTGATCTTTGCTCTTAAAAATGTCTGATTAATGCTCAGTGACTCCCCTCCTCTGACTATTTGGGAAGAGACTGACTTGAGGTCTCACCTGAAGACCAGCTGCAGCCATTTAAATGCACATTTCTGATCTAATTTAGGAGAAACTCTATTGACGAATTTTTGAGGGCAATCAACTGCAGCCCTGGGGCCTGTGATGTCCTTATCTGTCCAGAGGGCAGAGCTGCAAGAGAACAGGTGGCTGCTAGAGAGTAAGAGGTCACCATGTGTTGGGAGCAAATGGCGATGGTGGTAAACAAGCACATGGATGTCTGGGGAGACCCATGGGAATGGCTTTCCTCTCCTTGAGTTGTCTACACATCAACCTTCTTTTTGCCAGAAAGCTTACAAGCCAATACCTCAACCTGAGCACCACTGACATGTTGCATGAGATGAACCCTTGTCCTGGGGCTGCCCTGTGCACATAGGATGTTTAGGTACACCCTGGCCTCTGCTCACTGCATGCCAGTAGCCTCCCCTAGTGTGACAACTAACTATGTCTCCAGACTTCAGTGAATCTACCCTGGTTGAGAACTGCTGTCCTATGAACTTTTTTCCAATATTCTTTCCCCTTCTCCCCCATCCTCCCGTCTGTCCCCAAACTCAAGTTTGGTAGGGCCCCAGCTCGCCCTGCTGCAAAAGCCAGACCAGCACTCAGAGGTGGTGTCCCCAGTCAGTGCACCAGGTCAGCAACGACCAGGAGAAAGATCAGGGAGCCACCATGGTCAGGAGAGTCAGCACACAGAACAGAACAAACACCAGGAAAACCACCTTTGGCAATACTGTAAACTATGGGTGAAACCTTTTAAAAGACAGACCCTGGTGATTCTTTTGAGCTTTATTGAACACAGAATTAGCACGAGAGATGCCGATATAAGCAAAACAAAATGACCCCTGTTCTCCTTGGAACACGGGGCATGCTTTATTTGTTCACTGGTATCAAAAGGCTACTTAGTGCAAAGCCTGAGTGAGGCAATATTCTCACTCTCAGGATGCTTACATTCTGTCTGGAGCAAAAAGAAAATCGCACACTATATGTAGATTTAAGATATAAAATACATGTTACAAGAGGTCATTATTATTATCAGTGTTTACATTTAAATACTTTATACAGCATCCGGATTTGTCACCTATAAAAAATTGGGCTAAAGTCATTTTCAAAACCATGACCAGCTATACCCGGATATGGGCTTTATTCATCCAGTGGCCCCAAGACCTACCTCATTGCACCACATGTCTTGCATGGGTCGCTGTTCAAGAAAGAAAGGAAGAGAGGAAAGGAGAAGAGAGGGAAGGCAGAAGGGAAGAGAGGAAAGGAAAATGAAAAGAGGCTACATATACAATGGTGATTATAGCCATATAATGAAGTGACCTTCCTTTTGACAAAGTTGTAGGGAGAAACCTCTCAGGAAGAGATGCTCACATGGAACTCATATAAAGAAATTGATGATGTCACATGAGCTAATGAGAGTTGTGTCTGTTGTTTTCATGTTTTCACAGGAAAATTGTGAAAGAAGAATGTTTTATTGTCAATTAGGAATTGTCCAA